TCTGGGAATTCCTCAACGCTGCCCAGAACTGCCCTTACCTCACTCCTAAATTCTTCACAACAGTCTTCTTTCCTCAATTTCCACCATTTTATTTTCTTCTCTGTCTTCACCCTCTTCCTTTTCCTCACCTCCATTGTCAGCTTGCACACTACTATCCTATGCTGTTTGGCTACACTCTCTCCTGGCACCACCTTACAGTCGTTAACCTCCCTCAGATTACCTCTTCTACATAGGATATAATCTATCTGTGTGGACCTGCCTCCACTCTTGTAAGTTATCAGGTGTTCTTCTCTCTTTTGGAAATAGGTGTTTACCACGGCCATTTCCATTCTTTTGGCAAAGTCTACCACTGCCTGTCCTTCCACGTTCCTATCTCTAAGTCCAAACTTGCCCATCACTTCCTCATCACCTCTGTTACCTTCCCCTACATGACCATTTAAGTCTGCTCCAATCACTACTCTCTCTCCCCTGGGAATGCTCTCTGTCACTCTATCCATCTCATTCCAGAGCTTTTCCTTTTCTTCTAACTCACAGCCCACCTGTGGGGCATACCCACTGACTACATTCATCATCACACCTTCTATCTCTACCTTCACGCACATCAACCTGTCTGACTCTCGTTTTACTTCTACTACATGTCTAGCATATTTTTCCTTTATAATCACCCCTACTCCATTCCTCTTCCCATCTACACCATGGTAGAACAGCTTGTAGCCTCCTCCAATGTTTCTAGCCTTGCTGCCCCTCCACCTTGTCTCCTGAACACACAGAATATCTACTCTCCTCCTCTCCATCATGTCAGCTAGTTCTCTGCCTTTCCCTGTCATTGTACCTACATTCAGAGTTCCTAACCTCAGACCAATACTTCTAACCTTCCTCCTTTCCCTCTTTCTCTGTACCAATCGTCCTCCTCTTCTTTGTCTTCTTCTTTGACCAACAGTAGTCCAATTTCCAGCAGTACCCTGTAGGTGAACAGCACTGTTGGCAGTCGTTTTTATCCTGGGCCCCGACCGATCCAGTATGGAAATCGTTTTATCAACTCGCATGTTCGTTTTGGCAAAAGTTTTACGCCGGATGCCATTCCTGACGCAACCCTCCCCATTTTTCCGGGCTTGGGACCGGCACTGGGGAACAGTGTACCCCCAGGGGAGGGCACTGCTCCCTAGTGGCTGGGTTGCTCACTGACTTTCTCATAACGGATGGAATTATGAAATGCAATCACATTTTTTCTCTCCTGCAAAAAAACAAAAAAACAAAGATAGTGCAGATAGCAATAACAGCTTTAAAAACTCCTGAGCCTAAAATGTTGGCATGCCTGCGTATTCCTGAGCCCATCTGTCCCGTTCATTTTCCACTGTCGGTTAATGGCTACTGATTCTTTATTCCATGCGCTTTATATTAAAAAAGACTGCAGCCTATGTGTGATTGTTTTAAAAAACAAAACGTGTTTGCTGCATAGTGCGTGTGTGTGTGTGTGTGTGTGTGTGTGTGTGTGTGTGTGTGTGTGTGTGTGTGTGTGTGTGTGTGTGTGTGTATATACACGATAAAGAGCCAGTGTGTGGTCACACGATCCTCTTGCAAGCATCTTAATTAATCTGGTTGCCTTAGTTGCTATTCTTAACTAAATTAACATGCCAACAGCTGCTATGGCAGAACATTCTATATGTATAATACTAGCCAGTTATGCCAGCTCTTTCGCTGAAGCACCAGCACAGCATCACTGTCGTGTCTTAAAGCGCAGCTCTTCAACATTCACACCATTAAAAAAAAAACATCAATGAGTCTATTCTTGAACTGAAAAACAATCCAGGGACAAACATCATTAGTCTTCAACCTAAACCCCTTGCGTCATTGTCTTGCTCAGACACATATACTAACTCCTGAATATGGGTCAGTATATCTTCCGTATCTCTGCACTGGCAGGGACATATGATGTATTCACTGGGCGAGTGCAACCGGAGCTCATAGACTGTGACCGTTCTCTCTGCCCAATAGCAGGCGATGAGCATGGTGGGTCACTGGGCTCCGATCAATTTCGCAATGACGAGGCCATGAGACGTGCATGGGACACATGGTTTTACATCCTACAACAGTTTAACAATAAAAAATTAGTGTCAGTACAAAGACAGCAGCGATTGGACAGAGCTGGATTTTTCTCTATTACAGTACACTGCCACATAGCCGCTCACCCATGAGGCGAGACTGGCAGATGCGAAGCGTCCAGTGGACTCTAAGGGGCACCGAAAATGCGGATGAAAATCCCCCTTCAATATATTCAAAAAAAATTATGACTATTTATTTCAAGTCAAAAGGAAAGAGGAGTGATTCAAAATCAATACAAACAATCAAATGAGTGAAGATGTGCAAGGTGAATTAATTTGAAATCGATAATCCCATTCATGAGACCCCAGGAAACTTTGTAAACGTGTTGAAATGACCAAAACTATCGAGAGCAGAAGGAAGGAAAAAAGATGAGAGAAATGGGAGAAAGAGAGATCCAGTTGTTGCTCATTTTGGCTTGTCCGGTTAGGCGTCACAACAGCAAGTCACTCGCATGATTTGTTTGACGGGAGCGAAACATGATCATGAAATTAAGTTCCGTTGTGTGGTTGAAATTGGTTGACATTATCTTATATGTAAATTGAAGGCAATGTGAAAAATTAACTCCTTCTGTAAGCAGATTTAAAACATAATTTGGGTGGGTGGGGGGCAGCATTTAAAATTTTCACCTAATGCGCCACGTTGGCTCGGGCAGGGGTCGGTCGGGACCTTAGGGCTCGGGAGCCATATATGGCTCTTTTGGTGATTGCATCTGGCTCGCAGATAAAAAAAATATATACATATTCTCGCTTGTTTATTAATGCATCCATCGATCGATTTTTCACTGCTCATTTCCTCGTTCGGGCTGCAGTTGGCTCCAGGAGCCATTTTGATTGGATGATACTGGCCAACGTTGCCGGTTGCTGTTGTTGCCGTTGCTGTGGAAACAGGTATAGGCCCCCTTTTGAATCAACCCGCTTGGCCATTTGCTCAAAGCTAATCCTAAGCGAATAAGATGGCGAAAAGAAAAAAAGATGACGTGTTTGGTAGACTTCGGGACGAAGGGACCGAAGGATTCGCCTTGTGGAGAGAACAGGTTCTGCGGTGTGTCTGATTTGCAATGACAAAATACCATCGATGAAACGGTCGAATGCAGAGCAGCACTTTGACACGCCCCATGCAACGTTCGCATCAAAATATTGTGCGAGAGACGGCCGAAAGGAAGCATGCAAGCTACTGAGCAGTGTGCAAGCTAGCCAGCAGTAAGTTCGCGTATGGACCCGGCAAGATGACTTTCGTTCCGATAGTTTTGCTGGATTTTTAGCAATCGTGAGGTACGGAAAACCATTCACATTAATGGTGAGTAATATCACAAAACTATTTTAAAGAATACATTCAGAGGCTTATTATACTGACATTTTGTTGAACTCACTTTTAAAGTACAGTATATATATATGGCTCTCACTGAAATACATTTCCAAATATTTTGCTTTTATGGGTCTCTTAGTCAAAAAGGTTCCCGACCCCTGGGCTAGGGCCACCCCTGAACGTCTGTCTACTTTTCCATTTCCATTGCATGTTGTGATGACACCAGAATAAGTGTTCTGCACTGGTTTTTGGTGTTAATTATTGATCCTGTTACCAACCACAGCGTTACGTTGCCTCAAGGGAAGTTCTAGCCGCCAGAGAATTGAGACTCGCGTCTTTTGTGTGGCAACAGAAAGAGAGAACACAGAAGGTGCTTTTCTTCTTCTGACAACCAACTGCAATAAAGAACCGACCTGGATGCGCACGTTTTCAGTTTACAATTCCACACTGTACCGTGGTGAACTGAGCAACTGTACAGCTTGGTGGAAATGTGTGTTAACGTCAGAGGGTCATGGGAATATCTGCTTTGCATGAAACAAACATTTATGCTCATGTTGCTGCCAAGAAACCTTCAGGGGTTTTTTGTGTCAAAAGATTGACCTCTACTGGACTAAACCCAATCTTCAGTTTATTTGTTGGAGATGCATTATACCAACCAGTGGATTGTGTGGGTGTGTGTGTATACGTGTGTGTGTGTGTGTGTGCGTGTGTGTGCGTGTGCGCGTGTGTGTGTGTGTGTGTGTGTGTGTGTGTGTGTGTGTGTGTGTGTGTGTGTGTGTGTGTGCATGCATGTGTGCGCGCGCGCGAGCGCCGAGCCCACCCATGCAGAGCGCATCGTGTGCCTAATTGAATATTGATTGTTGCTATTTAAGATAAGATATCCTTTATTTGTCCCACACTGGGGAAATTTACAGTCCACAGCAGCAAGATTGTGGGTAGAAAGAAGAAAGAAGAAAAAAAAAAAAAACACCCTTCAATTAAGTGCAATATAAATACAGATATGGATAAGGTCGCAGTGCTATTTACAATTGTTTTTCGCATCATTTTATTTTCTATTCAGCAGCCTGACAGCAGTCGGTAGGAACGAGCGGCGGGATCTCTCCCTCTTGCAGCGCGGGTGGGACAGTCTCTGGCTGAAGGAACTACCTAGTGCTGTCAGGGCGGGCTGGAGGGGGTGGGAGGGACTGTCCATTATAGCTTTTAGCTCCGCTAGCATCCTCCTGTTGCCCACCTCCTCCAGAGTGTCTAGGGAGCAGCCCAGGACAGAACTGGCCCTCCTGACCAGTCGCTCCAGTCTCTTTCTGTCCCGGGCCGAGATGCTGTCTGACCAGCAGACAATGCCATAATGGATGGCCGAGGCCACCACCGAGTTATAGAAAGTCTTAAGGAGTGACCCCTGAACCCCAAAAGACAAAAGACATGGTTTGACTCATCTTGGAGCATGGTCATCCATCTTCAGTACTCCGTGGGCCTATGACAAAGTATCCTTAAGCAAGATACTAACCCAACAGCGCCAGCAGTCTGTGAATGAAGAGACCGTTTTGAAGCCCTTTGAGTACCTTGAAAGTAGAAAAGCACCATACAAGCTCCTATCTTGCATTTCCACGTCCAATTGTGAGAGGGTAATTTGCACAATAAGTGACCGAATAGCCGACACGTTGGCAGGGGGTGCAATAAGAGCCACTTATCACCACCACCGAGGTGTGTTAGCAAAATTGGTATAATTTAAGGGGGTGGGGGGTCCATCATATTTCCTGCTATATGGAGGAGTAGTTCTTCTCTAGCTTGTGATGGTAATCTAGCAGAGAGCAGTTAACGAAGCAAATTACCGCAGAGAGGTGGCATGGATTTGGAGCAATTGAAATCGGCACCCCCGGATGCACATCAAGTAATTAGCACTATTTGGATGTAATTTTATGGTCAGCCTTTATTTTCTGACCCATTTTGTTCATTTCATGCATTTTGGAAGCGATTCTGAAGCATCTCGGGGAGAAGATGGATGGCACACGGAAAAGACGAGTGTCCAATATTCAAAAGAGCAAGATGCATCCCATTTTAAAATGCTAGTCTGAGTCCTTTAGCAAATGATTGAGTGTAGCCTGTGAATGAGAGCACAACTTTCAATTATCGCAAATTGTATTTATGAAGTGTATGAGCCAGTGAGAAATGCAGCCTTTGGATTGAAAAATAAATAAAAGTATAATGTGAAAGTCCGAGTTCAAATTTATATTCATATGCTGCTGTCCAATAAATTTGTTCAGCCAGGCACGGTCCTGCTGAAGCAAGCTGC